AACTCAAATTATTTTCTAATTTCCTTTGCAACTTCCTCTTTGACCCATGGATTATTTAGAAGTTTGTTGTTTAATTTTAAGATATGTTTGGACTTTCATATCTTTCTGTTATTGATTTCTAGCTTAATTTCATTGTGGTCAAATAACATATATTTTTTAAGATTTCAATTTTTAAATTGATTAAGGTTTGTTCTGTGGCCCAGGATGTGGTCTATATTAGTGAATGTTCATTGTGCACTTGAAAAGGATGTATATTGTTGCCCTTGGGTGGAGTGTTCTATAAATGTCAAGTAGGTCAACATGATTGATAGTGTTGTTCAAGTCTTTTATAGCCTTACTCATTTTCTGTTCCTTTGTTCTGTTGGCTACTGAGAAAGATGTATTAATGTTTTCAACTATAATTGGGGATTTATTTAATTCTCTTTTCCGTTCTGTCAGTTTTTATTTCATGTTTTTGAAGTTTTTTTGTTTTTTAAAATTGTCATATCTTCTTAGTGAGCTGACCTTTTTTTTTTGTGAGGAAGATTAGCCCTGAGCTAACATCTGTTGCCAATCCTCCTCTTTTTGCTGAGGAAGATTGGCCCTGGGCTAACATCTGTGCCCACCTTCCTCTACTTTATATGTGGGACGCCACCACAGCACAGCTTGATGAGCAGTACGTAGGTCTGCGCCCGGGATCCAAACCCGCAAACCCTGGGCCGCCGAAGCGGAGCGTGTGAACTTAAGCACTACTCCACTGGGCTGGCCCCTCCTTTTATCATTATGTAATGTCTGTCTTTATTCTTGATAATATTTCATGTTCTGAAGTCTACTTTGTTTGATGTTAATATAACCAATCTTGCTTTCTTTTTTTCTTTTTTTTTTGTGAGGAAGATTGACCCTGAGCTAACATCTGCCAATCCTCCTCTTTTTGCTGAGGAAGACTGGCCATGGGCTAACATCCGTGCCCATCTTCCTCCACTTTATATGGGACGCTGCCACAGCATGGCTTGCCAAGTGGTGTGTCAGTGCGCACCTGGGATCTGAACCGGTGAACCCTGGGCCGCCGTAGTGGAGTGTGTGCACTTAACTGCTTGCGCCACCGGGCTGGCCCCCAATCCTGCTTTCTTTTGACTAGTGTTTGCATGGAATATCTGTTCCCATCCTTTTAATTCAACCTGCCTGTATCTTTATATTTAACATGAGTTTCTTGTAGATAGCACGTACAGTCATGTGTTGCTTAATGATGAGGATATGTTCTGAGAAATACAGTGTTAGGCAATTTTGTTGTTGTGCAAACATCATAAAGTGTACTTATACAAATCTAGATGGTATAGCCCACTACATATCTAAGCTGTATAGTACTCATCTTGTGGGACCACTGTCATATATGTGGTCCGTTGTTGACCAAAGCATTGTTATATGGCATATGACTGTAGGTGGGCTTTGATTGTTTTAAATCTAATCTGAAAATCCTTGTCTTTCAATAGAGGTTTTTATGCCATTTACATTTAATGAAATTATTATTTGTTTTTTGTTTGTCTTCTCTGGTTTATGTTCCTCTGTTCCTCCTTTTCCTGTCTCTTTTTGGAGTATTTGAATATTTTTAGAATTGCATTTTAATTCATCAGTTGGCTTAAATCTCTGTGTGTGTGTGTGTGTGTGTGTGTTTAGTGGTTGCTTTAAGGCATTATAATATACATACCTAAGTCTTTCAGCATCTATTTAGAGTTATATTGTAACATTTCAAGTAAAACGTAGAAGCCTTACAACCATATGCATTTCTCAATCCCTCTCCCATTTTTGTTATACTTGTTATATGTATTATATCTACATATATTAAAAACCTCATTAGACAATGTTATAACTTTTTTTGACAGTGTTATAACTTTTGCTTTAAACAGTCATCCATATTTTAAAGATCTTAAGGGGAAAAATTCCATATTATATTCCCCCACATATTTACCATTTCTGTTGCCTTTCTCCATTCAAGTGTCCCCTTGGATTATTTCTCTTCAGCCTGAAGAACGTCTGTTTAGCCTTTTTTGGTAACAACAAATTCTTTTATTTTTCCTTCATCTGAGAATATCTTTATTTTGCTTTCATTCCTGGAAGATAATTTCACTGGACATAGAATTCTGGGTTGACTGTTCTTTTCTTTCCACACTTTAAGGATGTTGTCTCACTGGCTTTTGGCCTCCGTGGTTCTGTTGAGAAATCCATGATCACTGAAATTGTTGTCCTGCATCAATATGTTATTTTTCTCTAGCTGCTTTCAAGAATTTTTAAAATTTTTGGTTTTCAAGAGTTTGATTTTGCTGTGTATAAGCGTAGTTTTCTCTGAATTTAACCTGTTTGGGTTTCATTGAGCTTCTTGATTGTGTACATTTATGTCTTTCACCAAATTTGGAAAGTTTTTGGCCATTATTGGTATGTATTTTCTACACCAGTCTCTTTCTCCTCTCCTTCTGGCATTCCCAAAGACATGAGTATTAGACCTTTTGATATTTTTCTGTAAGTCCCTGAAACTTGCACCTTTTTAATCTTTTTCTCTCTGTTGTTCAGATTGTATAATTTTTGTTAGTCTTCAATTTCACTGACTCTTCTGTTGTTTCTATTCTGCCATGAGTCCATCCAGTGCTTTTTGTTTTTAATTTTAGACATTGTATTATTTATTTCTAAATTTTCTAATTTGTTCTCTAATAGTGTGTATTTCTCTGCCGTAAAATTCTATCTTTCCATTAATTTAGAGTATGTTTACCTTTAGCCAGCCCTGGTGGTCTAATGGTTAAGATTCAGTGCTCGCACTGCCGCAGCTTGGGTTCATTTCCCGGTCAGTGAACCACACCACCCGTCTGTCGGTTGTCATACTGTGGCCGCTGCGTGTCGCTGTGATGCTGAAAGCTATGCCACTGGTATTTCAAACACCAGCAGGGTCACCCAAGGTGGACAGATTTCAGCAGAGCTTCCAGACTAAGACAGACTAGGAAGAAGGGCCTGGCCACCCACTTCTGAAAAAGTGGCCATGAAAACCCTATGAATAGCAGCAGAGCATTGTCTGATACAGCGCTGGAAGGTGAGAGGATGGCATAAAAAAGAGCAGGCAGGGTTCTGCTCTGCTGTACACAGGGTCACTAGGAGTCAGAATTGACTCCATGGTACTAACAACAAATGTTTACCTTACCACGTGGAGTGTGGGTATAACAGCTGCTTTAAAGTTTTTGTTTGATAATTCCAACCTCTGTGTCATCTAAGAATTGGTATCTGTTGATTATCGCTTGCTTTGAAAATTGGTCATATTTCCTGATTCTTTGTATGTAGAATAATTTTGGATTGTATCATTGACAGTTTGAATGTTATATTCTGTAGACTCCAGGTCCTACTATAATCTTTTGGAGAATGTTGCCTTTTTTGCTTTAGCAGACAATCCGCCCTGTTAGGTTCAGACCACAAGTGCTGTGCTATCTTCTGTGGGTGGTGGTCCCAATCTGAGTTTTGTTTTCAAAGCCTTTGCTATACTGCTTTTTCTTGCTCATGCTCAGCTCAGGGGGGAACCTGAGACTTGTGTGGGTTCCTACACAGAATTAGGGATTTCTCTTTCCTGCTGTCTTCTCTCCAGGATTCTTCCCAGTCTCTGACTTGCACACGCCCCTTTTCCTGGTTCTCTGGCCAGAAACGTGAGGTTTTTTACAGAGTTTTAGCCTAAGCCTTTCCACTGCACTGCCGTGCAGGTCTGAACTGGTACAAAGCCAGGAGAGCAAAAGGAAAAGCACTAGGAACCTCATCTCCTGTTGCAGCCCATTCTATACGTTTTGACTCCCTTTCATAGTCACCTGCTTTGTTTACTTTTCAGAGTCCTCACGTAGTTGCTTTTTGGTTTTATCCAGGGTTTTTCAATGTAATCAGCAGGAGGAGAGGCCATTTGGCTTACCTCACCGTGCCAAAGTAGAACTCCCCTAGAATGTTCTTTTTTGATCACGGACAGAGTTTTCCCCTCACCAGCTGCTCCTGAGAGCCCTCTACCAGTGAGTGCATGTTTTGGGGTGTTGGGTACCTGTGAGGATGTGGGTTCCTCAGTGCAGTCTGAGGAACTCTAGGTTCCTTAGAGAGAAGTGTCATGCATCTCTTCTCTTCTGTGATAAAAGCCAGAAATCCAGTTCCACTTGGCCTGAGAACACTTGCTGGCCTCTGACCAGGAGGCAGAAGTGTCACCAGGAATCCTCCTTTCTCATGTCTTGGCATTGCTTCCCTGAGTTGATTCCGTCTCACATCCCTCCAGGGTGGCCCACTGTGGCCTGTCTCCTCCCAGCTCAGCAGCCCCAGAGGGCAGAGAGCGGCTTTCACCGATAGTCCCAGAAAACGTCCCAAAGCTCTCACTGGCCCGGCAAGGATCACGTGCTCTTGTCTGAACCCATCCCTGAAGTCAGGGTGTGGAATATGCTGACTGACAGCCTGGATCAAATGCCCAGCTTAGAGCCGGATGGAGGTGGGGGTGTCAGCCCCACCTGAGCCTCAGGGACTGAGGAGGTGGCCTAAAGCGTGCATTCTCCGTTGGGGTGACATCACCCCCAAGGGGTTAAAAAAAACCTTAGATATTATGATGGTGTAACAGATTGGCAGTGTATCTGTGGGATTAATATTTCATGGGGGTAGGTGATTAGGGAAAAAATGTCGAAAAGGGCGTCTGAGTGGACGAAAGGTTGAGAACAAATGGACATAATGAACAAAAGGTTGAGAAATGCTGCCCTAGAGGAAACTGAGGTGCTGTCATCAGAAGAAGGGGGGTGGACACCAAGCACCTGTCAGCTGTGGGGGCGTCTGGACACAGGAGCCGCAGCAGGCAGGGGTGGCCAGCAGGTGCCGCCTGTCAGAGGGGCTCACTGGAGAGCAGGCGGGCTGCTGCCTAGGACGCTGAGCCTCGTCTTCCGTGTCCCTGGCCCAGGAGTTTGGGGTCGAAGACTTGTTGTTAGGCAGCGTGGGGGGCATCCTGACCCAGCCGCTCTCTGCTGTCTCTGGTGCAGGTGAAGAGCGAGGTGGAGAAGCTCCCCAGGCAGCAGCGGAAGGAGAGCATGAAGCAGAAGATGGAGGAGCACACACAGAAAAAGCAGCTTCTCGTGAGTCCTTGCCCCTCGGTCGGGGAGCACGGGGTGGGGAGTCCCAGGTTTGAGACCCTGAGTGGTGACCAGGCCTCCTCTCTGTCTTTGCCCGTGTCCTACCCCTTAAATACCCATCTCTTATTCTGGATGCCTAAATCCAGCCCATCCTTGTTATCATCCCTATTATCACCTCCCCCATGCAGCCTTCCTTGACTGCCCTCACTCCAGCTGGAAGCGAGCTCGCCTGTCTCTGGATAACCCAGCCATTTACATCCACCTGTCCCAAAGCCTTTAGAGCCTCCTGCCTTGTTTTAGAGTTGTTTGTTTGTATGTCACATCTCCTTGACCAACCCAGTACGTCCGTCTCCCCCTTGGCATCTTTGGAGTCTCAAAGACATCAAACCCATGATCTCCCAGACCTGGACCTGTTCTCGTGTTTAGAGGAGGCACCACCCTCCATCTTGTTGTCAGGCCAGGAACGTTGTCATTCCTGACACCTCCTATCCCACCAATCCTTCATCACCTCCTGAAGCATAGTTTGTTTTTGTAAATTTCCAAACTCTCTCTGGATCTCTTGACTTGTGAACATCTCTGCGATGCCCTAGGGTCATCTTTTGCTTGGTCTGCCACAGTAGCCTCCCAGCTAGTCTCTCCCTTCCTCTCTTGCTCCCCTGCAGTTCTTTCTCTCACCTCGGCAGGTGTGATCAATACAAATTCCAAACCTGGATCCTGTCACCCTCCCCCCACAGCCCTGTGCCTTGAAAACCTTCAGTGGCTTCCCCTTTGTCCATAAGACCAGCCTCCTCAGTGCTGACAAGGCCCTGCAGGTCTGGCCCCTGCCAGCCTCTCCCAGCTATACTCAGTCCCCTCAGCCCCCGCCTCACCAGCCTTCTCTTCATCCCTTGTGGGGCCATGCTCTCATTTTCTCCCACTACGGAGTCTGCACATTCTGCTTCCTCTGCCCCCAAATGCAGAGAAAATTAGAGTCTACATTTACAAATGCTTTGTATATTATCTGGATTACCATTCATGGCTTACCAGGGTAGGTGCTGTTCGTTTTCTCTTTTGCAGAGAAGGAACCTAAGGGTCAGAGAGGTGACATTGCAGAGGTAATAGTGGGGGGCCAAGGCCTCAAACTCAGTCTGATTCCAGACTTCACGTTCTCTCCAGGACACCATCATACTGTCCTACAACCTGTCGCTTGACGCTATGATTAGAAGTAGAATGCAGGTCTGGGGAGCGGGGTAGACAGGCCCTCATCCTCACGGGGGGAGAGCAGACTGGCCCTTAAGGAGGCCAATCTGGCAATTGTATCAAGACCCTCAAAAATGTGCATGTCCTTCAGCCTGAGTATTCTACTTCTAGAGACTATTCCTGAGGATTAACCACCACAGAGGTCACCGACATGTAGCTACCAGAATGTGAAGAGCAGCCCTATCTAAAATAGAGATAATCGGGAAACAACCAATTATATATTGGGTAAATAAGTTAGGATATAGCCATACCATGAAATATTTTCAGCCATTAAAACTCATTTGATGGGCCGGCCCTGTGGCTTGGTGGTTAAGTGCGCGCGCTGCGATGCTGGTGGCCCGGGTTCAGATCCCGGGTGCGCATCGAGGCACCGCTTCTCCGTTCATCCTGAGGCCGAGTGCCACATACAGCAACTAGAAGGATGTGCAGCTACGACATACAACTATCCACTGGGGCTTTGGG